GGGGGGGGGGGAACTCAGTGATTTCTAAACCTTTTGAGAGCATCTCTTTCAGCCACAGAATTTGTAATCAGTGTTTTACTAAGATCTCCTTAGCTACTTCTCAGTGTCTTCATTTTGTACGAAACAAATGCGGCCTGCTGGGGATAACACCACAAGGTTAAACATCATCTTACAGCAAAAAGTTCTTCCTGCTACTTCGAAAAAATTTTATACGTGAAATATATAACTATATACAGCACCTTGAGGCAGCACCTTTCAAAACTTCCAAGAATCTACTTGAAAGGAAAAGTTTTATAGTCACTTGTGGGCTAACGAAAGCTGCAATTTACTAAAGTTTACTTCAAGTCTTAATTGTCTACATAAGTGTATTGAAGAGCAATATGATAAGATGGTTTCTTAATAGGTAACTTCTTTTGTAATTGTAAAGTGCTGTTACACAGCGTTAAGTTATGGGAATGAGTGTATAAACATGTTGCTTGGTCAAGGACAAGTACAATACAGGGTGTGTATTTATTTTTCTGTGTTATAAAATTTACTTGCTGTTGCTCTTCTAGAAACGATTAGGTAGTAAATGTGTATATACTGTATCGTTTGCTGGACACCCAGGACTCGACAGGTTGAGCTGTGCGTGTGTGTGAAGGACCATTCTGCTTGCATTTTTAGTAGTTTTCATTTGCAACGTGCAGGAACAAGTGTTCCAGAGTGGACTGTGAATAGGAGAAACAGGGAAGCAGTGAAACAAAATTTAACGCAAGCTTGTGTCTTTCTTCCTCTCGTGTTTCCAACGGCTACTAAAACTCTTTATTCACTAACAGGAAATGTCTGTAAGATGAAATCCCCTTCGGCTTTTTAAAAACACTTTGTGATATCTATGGCAATGCAGTTCTTCTAGACATTAATCTTGCACCCCTGTAAGAAATTTCACCTTTCTGAGTCCCAGAAAATCTTGTCAAGCAACATTGACACCGAAGGGCACATTTTCAGAAGTATGTAGGAGGATTGAGCTGTGCAGGCTTCTGTTAATGTTGTGAAATCCAGGCACATAGCACTAAGCGCCACCCCTAAGGGTTAATCCTTTGTAAGCATTTCCCTTGTAGCTCAGCTCTAGGAATTTTGATATTGAGGCAGCAATGAAATGATGGCAAATGTATATATTTCCATCAGAATTTTCTGTTTCAAGACTTGACACATTTTATTTTTGATGGCTGTCTGCTCATTTGAAAATGTCATCTTGTATTCAGTTACATCAAATTGAATTTATTTCGATGAACTAATCCAAAGTATTATTTAATCATCTTTATTAAGGATTATAAGATATATCCTATGTCTACTCTATATACCATACTTGATGAAGACTGGCATTTGTGGTACCAATTATAAAGTTTATTAGAATTTGAACAAAACCGTGCTGCTTGGTAAAAATAACCAACTGTTTTTTCTGTATTACTACACTTTATAGAAATCATGGAATGGCATGTGATTCAAAGAGCACAGCATTTAAACATCAAATGGTATGTTGGAGTAGGCTGGATTAGGGAAATACATAGGAAAGAAAAAACTGCATTATACTAACGGCACCTCCTTTCTCTTTCCCAAGCACTTGTATTAGTTGAACGTTAGCACATAAGTGAGTAAACTTTTGAGAAATGACTTGTTTCTACTATGCCCTCTTTTCATGTAAGCAGTGAAGTAGCCGTATTGCTAAAGAACAAGGCCCAAAAGAAAAACAGAAAAGAAAACGATATATTGAGTTCTTTCTAATTATAGCTATAACTCCTTAGTAGGTCTGTACTGCACTTTGGTTCCACACGATCTATGCTTCAATGTACCCTGGTTCGGTGAAATTTCAAGAGAAAGTAGAGAGAGGTGGAATTAATTAGTAGGCATCACCATTAGTAAAGATGCATTTGTTCATTTCAGTAAACATAAAATTAATTTCTTTTACATAAAGTGATTGGAGATTGTGTTGCACTGAATTGGATTTTGTAAAAAAAAAAAAAAAAAAAACACTAAGTGATAAAGTAGTAATTGAGAAACTTTCAAGAATAGAGGTATTGACTTAAAAAAGAAACTACCATAAATTTTAGAGCTGAAAGACTAGCCACAATTAGTTACACATAAGAAATATAGTTTCTAAATTGTTTTCCAGCTTTAAATGTTCAAATATGATTAGAAGGTCAGGATAGAATACATCTGATTAGAATTTGAAGTAACAATATAGATTTCCTCTTTTTTCACAAAAGAACATTATGTATTAATTTGGATCAAATTGATTTGCTTCCTTTGCAATCTTGGTGTTTATTTTGGAAAGTAAATTAAGATAAATGTTAAATAGACACCTAACTTTTATCCATATCTGATTTTGGTTCAGAATTTCTAAAGAATGTCAGTATGATTTTAGAAGGAATAAGAAGACTCTCAAACAAGATGTACTTTCCCTAAAAGAGGAAGGAATTCATTTAAAAAATATTTGTTCACCACTGGATGTATCACCAACTGGGAAGTGCCAGCCTCATCTATAAATGTGAGAAGTGGCACAGGGGGCGGAAGAGCGCTTGTGAAATGCAGTGCGGCGGTAACCTGGGGCCAGGTTTGACAAATCTTGATTGTGTGATTTCCTGTCATTTTGGTTCAATTTGGCACCCATCAGACAACTGAAAACAAAACATAGACTCAATAATTTTACCACAAAAGATAGATTTGTCAAATGATACATAATGTTTTTGTAACTATCAGTAGCAATATCTTTAGGGTGTGAGTCTTTCTCAATGTTACTTTGAAAAATGACTACAAGCAGGGAGTAGTTTTCAACTTACTGATATCATTTGAAGTCACATAAATACTGCTTATATCAATCATAATTTGTTTCCTAATCTTGCCTTTTGTTCACATGTAAAAATGCCATATAACCTGTTGTTCTTCTTGGCCATCAAAATGTATGAATTATATGTAAAAATGTAAAGATTTTTAATCTTCTTATTTAAAAAATTAATGTGCATGATCTTTGATTTCTTGTATTTTAATCACCAAGTCAGTGTTCTGAAGTTGTAAGATTACTGTAAAAATTATATTCCAGTATTCCATCGAACTTAAATGTGGCCAGCATTATTAGTGTCAGAGTTGCCAAAAGTTAAGAATCAATTTGTAATGGAGTTTTAACCAGTGTGCAATGGTGAAGAAATAGTTTCACATTTCAAGTCTAAATGAAAAATTAATATCAGTTGAACACTTATATGTTTGCATGTCTGCTATTTAATCTCTATGTGAAAGTTAAAGGATTTTGACACCGTTCTTTCTCCCAAAGTGGGTTCTCGGAAGCACAAGCAGAGATAGTTACCCATGGGAGACATCAGTGGCTGTAATTGTGGATTGGGTAGCAAATGCTATTTGAGTCAGTTGTTAGACACTTACTAGATGAATATTGTTGCATAGTGGAATAAGATCATTTCTCATGTTGTTCTTTCTTAAAAAAGAAAAAGAGGAAAGCTTAGTATGATAGTAAACTGCTTATGTCCCACCAGATGCATAATCTCAAAGTAAATTAAAGTAGGTACAATAAAATGATGATGATGATGATGACAGTGATGATGAAACAAAGCACTAAGTCATCATTTTTGCAACTATATAACATAGCTGGTTACATTGAATATTTGTCTCTATTATGCTGTTAATTACATAGTAATGTATCAAAGGAAAAGTAGATAAAATGTTTCTTTTCATTTCTTGTTGACTTATGAAAAAGCCTTTTGACATAAATGATTAAATGTCCTTGTTCAGAATGACCACATAATTATAAAGAAGAAACCAATTCTTTAAAAAAAGTCTATTTATAATAATCAGCATCAAATATTATTTGTTTCTTCTAAATATAAGTGAAAAAATGGAAGGTGGCAAAATATGTTTATTAAGGCTGAGTTATATTAACAGTAGAAATTTCAGTGGTCAACATACTTGTGAATCTTTAGACTGCTATAGTTTTACAATTAATTATTTATAAGTATGTAAATTTCACTTATAACAGTCTGAGAATAAAACTTAGACTCACTCATTTGTTAATATGTGAATTAAGATCTCTTAGATTCAGGCCAAGTGTATCATATTTTATGCCAGGCATCAGGGTGTCTCCAGTCCCTGCCTCAGAGTTAATTCAAGGAAGGATTAGCACTTCTGCATTTTCCCCATTTGAAGTTCTCTGTGCATTTGGTTTGTGTACATGTTTTTGTAGTGTAAGATATGAAATTTTATATTTTTTCAAAAAATAAAAATCCTTTGAACACAGTTAAATCCGACTGTCATGCTTCACCCTCTCCCAGAAGACTTTAAATTGACAGCCTTTGTATAATGATTTCAGTTAGTTCTAATAAAAATGTTGGAATTTCTTTTGCTAAATATTTTAAATGCAATCAGCATCCATTTTCTCAAAGACATATTTATGAATCTTTGTATTTGAATGTTTTTTCAACTAGAGTTTGACACTGAGATTGTGGGACATGAGCTTAATTATGTGAACCTAATTAGAAGTTGATTTGTAACACAGTAATGTAACATTACTTGGAAAAACAGAAAACTGTGTTTCCCATCTGCAAGGCTCGACCTTGTGCTGGCCGGGCAGCAGCTGGCCAGCTGGGCGCCGGCGCCGGCGCGGCCGGTGGGGGGATTGCGCTCGCCGGGGCTGCCGCTGTTCCCGCAGCTCCCGCTTCCTCCCTCCGTATTGGATGAATTGTCTCCTTTTGTAAAGAGCACAGACAATAATCTGCTGTATTCAAGGAAATGAATCATATTGGAGTTTTGTTGC